CAATATTTTTCATTTCTTCGTATGTTCATTCGATATTTCCTTATTTTCCTTTTTTTTAATCAAAACAATTTTCACAAATCCATTACATAAAAATTTAATATTTCGTCTTTGCCACGTTATTTCTATCCATCATTTTTCACCTTTTTAACATCTCATTTTATTTTTAGATGCAACGTGTCTTGTTCGTTGAATGTAATTCACGAACTTTGCCGTGAAAATTTTTATGAATGCTCTCTCTTTCTTTCGCTGTGAATATACTACAATGTATAATTTTAAACGTGTGTGCAAACCACCAGCCTTACTTTCTCGGTTCCATTGTAAATTCTTTCTAGGTTTTAACTAAACGATCTATCAACACACACATATATATATATATATATAATATGAATATATATTTATTCGTTGTATGTGCTTTGCCTTGTAAAAAATTGTACAAGGACTGCTGCACCATTACGTATATTTTTATCATTTACGAAATATCAGTTAGAAAAATAAATCATTCCCTCGTTGAACAAGTCCCTCGTCACGGTTACACCATCACACCGTCACAAAATACTTTTTTTAACATAATTCATCCTTTTATATTTCCCTCACGAGATACTATCCACTTAATTTGACTAAATGTAAATGGAAAATGCAGAAATTCCTCCGATATAGAATTGCAAGGTATTTCTTATCGAGCTATTGGTAAACAAGGTTATAAAGTCACGAGTAATACGTGACAGCTATCAAACACCGTTAATTTTACTACAAATTACTGTTAAGTAATTTCGATATATATATATCGGACTAAATAGCAGTTTCGCGATGTGCAGCTAAATGTATAACCCTGTATAATATGTAGGTCGAACATTTTAACAATAATTATCGAATAATGATCACGCATCGTTTATTAAACGGCCGCTAAACATGCTAAATCGACGAATTTAGAGATTATAATAATCATCGTTAAACGAAATGTTAACAATTGACTATTTATATATAACAATTGTGTGTTTCAATTAAATGTGTGTCAACAAAATTGTAATTTAAATTGACACGAAACACGTATTTGTATCTATATATAATTGACGATAGATTATCTCCCATTTATCATTTTACAAATTTTATTCGTCAAATGAATCAAATTTTTAACAAATGTTATAAAGTAAAAATTTCTTTAATAACCATATGATAAAAAAAAAAATTATCCCATATTTCCACGCCAATTCCAATTCTTCTGTTATACATATTAAAATATTTATAATACATCCAAAATTAAATTAATACCATAATAATAAATTTATTCATTACAATATATATATTACTTCATTTATTAAATATACCAATAATCTGGTTTGTATCTGGTGTATCTTGATGACCAGTAATTTCGTGGTCGATGACAAACATTTCTGATAACCAATTGAAGAGAGTTTCTCGAAGGAACTGACGAGTTAACAGGACACTTCCGAGACACCTTCTACAGAACTAGACCTCGTGATAGTACCCTCAATTGATACGCGGTTGGTTACGTGGGTGGAGGAAAAGCCTGTAGCACGGCGGCTTGGAGAATGAGTTAATGTGTCAGTCGTAAGCGCGATCCCGTCGCGTCGCGCACTTCGACAGACCGGTGAACCGAGTATACGGTTTAAAAAATTATATCCTTTTCTTTTTTCCTTTTCTTTCTTTCTTTTAACAACTTCAACAACTAAACGATAAACGTTTGATGAAGAGAAAAATTCGACTTCCACTTCGAATTTACGAATTTTACGTTTTTTTTTTTTTTTTTTTTGAAAGTCAAGTTATTCTTCCGTATCCGCTGGTGAACCATGATCAGTGTTTTTATTCATAAGCTGTTCTTTTGACTTTTCGTGAAGATTTTATATGACTATGATTTTTGAAACGTGTAAGTAATTAGTGTAGAATACGGGAATAATATTTGTAGAGATGTTATAGTGATGATGAAAGTTTGGGGATTACTTTGAGAAGGGAAATTGGGATTGGAGGGAAGTAAGTGGTGCAATTTGTAAATTTGCGGAAGTACCCTATGTGCACGAAGAAAATGATGGAAATTGATGATGGTAATTTTGGTAGAAATGCGTAGATTTCGCTTATTTTAATATTTGAACTAATTTGAAATTTTAAAATATTATTCTCGCAAGAGTCGAAACTTTGGAGATGTAGGAATAATAAAATTTGGAATTCGATAAGTTCTCATGTGATGAGGTAAAAAAAAAGTGTAAATTTTTATTCAAAATTCGACGGGACAAATATTTTTTGTTCTCCACACTTTTGACACTTTTTTTTCAAAATGTGAAACACAATCTTACTAAAAACTCTATTTATCCCATATTCAATAGAATTTAATTTTAATAATATTAAATTTCTTATTAACGTAATATTGAGAAACACACGATTAACTCTCATTCCATATTTCTTTTCAATTATAACATTTTTAATTTTCTTTCTTAAGATGTGAAGCATACAGAAGAAACGAAATTAAAACCTCAAAGTATATTATCCCAATAATCTAAAAGAAAATTAAATAAAATTCTAAGAAAAATTTAATTTTAATCTATATTATTCTTCCGAACAAAAATAAAAAAAATAAAATCCGAAAGGATTTTGGATTCTTCTGTTCTTGAAGGTAGAAAAAAAAAAATAAAAAATAGAAAAACAAAGAAGAGAAACATTTTTAAAGCATGACGTACGCGGACTCGTGGTACTTGGTACACGGGCGATTATTAATCACACCAATTAGAAGATCGTCTTTAAAGATTCAATTCAGTTAATAGGGCAGTCCGTTTCTCAAAAAATAATCTGTTGCTGTAAAGACACAACTATAAAAGCACAATTATAAAACAAATAAATAAATTTCTTTGAAGAAAAAACAATTTTGATCATTCGTTCAAAGATTCAGAAAACTAATGTAAACTAATTATCACAATCACGATAATTTCTTATTCATACATATTAAAATTATCGGTTTCCTTCTGTTGGATCACGTTTAAAGACGCGAATATGATTGACATAATGATTAACATATGTTTATGCAAATTAATATTTTGTTAAATATCATCGAAGGAACAGAGATTGAATAAAAATTTTACCTCATTTGTCATAACGAATAGTTTTCTTTTGGATACATTTCCACACGTTAACGTGCATTAAATTTTGTATAAATGCATATTAATCTAATAATAATAGTAATACATCATATTACAGATTTGTTGCATTGAAACACTTTAAATTCTCTACAATGCACAAATGAAGAAATTAACGTATAATTGTTATAAAAATATTCCTACATGTGAAACATATGGAAAAATATATAGGAAATAACATATATATATGTATAGTTGCATCGAACAATAGTTGGATCAGTATTGATTCACCGTTGGATTCTGGTTAATTCATCCTTTTTCATTGATATGCACGGGCAACGCTCGGCACCTACGAGATAAACTTCCTTTATGTAAATTGAATCGTCTCCCTTCAAAGGATAAGATCGATGTAGCGCCCTACGTGATTTCCGGCCATGCAACGGAGCCCCTCGTCTTAAATAAAATCGGTCCCAGGCGTGGAGATGGATTATGAGTAATGGATTGCTTTTCATTCGTGGAATCGAGACTGTATTCGAATATAGTGGCCACAGATCCGTGACCCGGATACATTAACCGATCTTAGGAGGGAGCATCGGTGACTGATACGCGCCGATTTTAATGAAACTTCACACAATTGTCCATTGAATCTATCTGTTTTTTCCCTCGTTTACTTTTTTCCAAAGGTTTAAGGAAGAAATTAATTTTTCGCTTAAATTTAAGAAATTAAAAGCGTCAAGTATAAATTTTGAAATTTGTTTTTTTAAAGTTTTATCATTTTGAGTCGCGTTTGTTTCATTTGACAGACATAATTATCGAGTTAAAAAGAATTGATATTTATATTTAAATTCGTAATTAAGAGTTTGTTGTATTGTTCTTTGTGGTTAAATGATAAAAATCTCTCGATACTTTTTTCACTTGTTATACTCGAGCTTTTATTCTACATTATCGTATAAAATTACAAATATATTATAAATCTTGAATTTTATTTTATCTTGTTTTTTATAAATCTCTTTTACAGAAAGTCTCGTTTGACAGAAAATAAACGAAAGCGAAGTAAAAGAGAATTAAAGTTAAGTAACATAATTAAAAATATACAATAATACAGATTGTTCCATGTATGACCTAATACGATATATCAGAGGAGGGATAAAAATAGTCATATCGCTATTTGTAAGAGCTAAGATATATCGATTTGCTTTTAATAATTTTTAACTTAGCACAGAGAAGTAGATCGGAGAAGTGGAATGACGTGGTTAAAAATTGAAACTCTTTCTTTTTCATTTCCGTTTACTTTGTTTCGAGGTAGTTTTTTCTCTTCGTCTCAATTTAACAAAAAATAACGAGTACTTATTAAGATTTAATAAATCGAGTTTTCATTTAACCACATCGAAAATATATTTTCTTATCTCGAGATCGAAGATACTCTTAATTACTTTCCTATTAATTAATTCGGGGATTTAGGTAGAAAAAGAGAGAGAGAGAGAGAGAAAAACTCGAAATTTGATTGCTCATTACGTAAATGGAGAGCAGCAATTTTCTTCTTTTCCACCGAGCTTTCGCTTTAAAACCCGCCCACTACAATGACCCACTCGCCAGTTTTGCTCAATATATCGATTTTCTAGGGACAACAGGAGGAGTGCCCGTGAAGAGCTTACTACCTTGCCACTTCAAAATAAGAAACGTCTGCCCTTATTTCGACAAAACTATCGTGAAACTTTTTTTTTAATTCGAATTCGAACAACAAGAATCGTGTTTTTCCTTTGATTCGTTCGTTGAATCGTTCAAAAAATGATACGTCTCGAATTTAAAATACGGAATCTCAAGGAAATTCATCATTATAACAAGCCTCGTAACTAGAATATAATTGATATCGATAGAAAAATTTTTGGTGTTTAAATTACTCTAGGTTTAAGTAAGATCAATTTCTCGCAAAGGTACGAAAGCAGTTAGGGGTTAAAGAGATAAAGGGGTTATGCGAAAACGTGTCGGTGGTGACGGGATCGCAATGAAAGTCAATAAACCGTGATGAGTAAGAGAGAGTAACAGTCGGAGTGGTATTAATAAATTAGTGTCTAGTTGCTACAAGCAGCAGCAGCAGCAGCAGCAGCAGTAACAGGAGATGGTGGAATAACGGATAAAGAAGAATAGGAAAATCGATGGACAAGAGACAGCGATGAAGACGAAGATGGAAAGTGGATATTCGATTCTTTTCCTTGCTGCGAGTTTTCGAGCTGCTTAATCCCTTCGATTTAAGGTTCGATTTATCACAATGAATTTATACGTTTTACACGCTAAAAGATTCAGATATATCGTATTTTTTAAATATTTTGCGAAAGATTGGAAATTTCGTTGGAAAAACGAAATTTTTACTCTGTAAAAATTGTGATTGATCGTGTGTTGGTGATCGAGAACAATTATTATTGCATCATTATACTTTTTTTTGGAATATTAAAAAATCTTGATCGACAAGAGTTAATTTTTCCGTATGCATAAAGATTCGAAGATAACGAAAGAATTGAGCGAGAAAATTAATATCGATACATGAGAAATTTACTATGATTTATCACGTTGGAACTGGCTACGACAGCTCTTTATTCAATTTTAATGTTTGATCAATCTCAATTCGTTCGAGCAACCCAAATTTAATTCGATTACGGCTCCATAATCTCGACTCGAGTTCGAGCTGTTTGACCAATGTTCCATAACCACCTGAATGCCATGAATCTTATATAACAAAATAGTATTAATAGTATTATAGTAAAAAAAAATTCACCAGCAGTATGTACACAATTGCAGTAGTTCAATTATTCTATTTAATATATTATTGTATTGTACATGGTAACAGAATGACCCAGTTAATTTTGATCAAACTTTGTACAGTATGTTTTATGAGTATATAAATATAAGAGAAACTAAAAGTTGATATAAAGTTTATAAACTATTGAACTGGAATAAAACAATGAACGTTAAAACTATTGCCTGTAATTTATACCTATAATTTATATCTACAGATAATTATGAATAAACACCCATACGCAACATACATTCGATTCATCAAGATCAATCAACAAATGCACGAAAAAAATCAGGAACCCAATACTTGGATCGCGTCGAATCTCAATTCAGCTTTCAATTTTCAATCTCATGCAAAAAAAATTCTGCACGATATCAAGATCTCCTTGAATTCGAATCCAAAATCCAAAATTAACTAGCCTCGCCAAATAGGCTAACTATGCATAAGAATTCTTAATCCGAATTCCAAGATTCCGAATTCTCCGACTGACCAACTTAACCAATCAACTTTTTAACCAACAATCCTGAACGTCCCCCCCTCCCCCCCTCCTCGAGGGGAAAAAAATCTTTCGAACGGATTGAAAAGCTTCCTCGATCCGACGAAGCGAAATTCACGGAATCATCTCGATCCCCCGCGGGATCCACGAACGATGTCCACGAAGAAAGTGGGCGCGTAAGGGAGAGGGAGAGAAAGAAAGAAGGTGGCGAGGTGGTGATCGAGCGTGTGGCATCGAAGGCAACGAAGGAGAGGAGGAGACGTTTATCGTGGCCGAAGCGTGACGATCCGTGTGCACACGCGTGTCGTCCGTGTGGGATCGGATTATCGGTGTGTCAGTGCGAAAGAAGACAATTGACTCGCAGCCGCCGTCGTGCTTGCCGCCGGGGGCCTTCTGACGTCACATCCTGTCCTCTGGCTAGTCGCGATCTCGTTTGGACCACGGCACATCAAGGTACGCAGATTCGTGCGTCCTCAATGTTTGGACGCAGAAAACTGTCACAGACAGTCGTCTGGCACGTGATTTAGCAGCGGCGACTCGCGACCAACCTTTGCTTCGGCCATTTTTCCCTTCTTCCCTCCCCTTTAAAGCGGGTTAAATATCCAGCTCCATGGAAAAAAACTTGAAAACGGATTGAAATCGTGCCGAGGACGAGGATGTGGAGATGGATGTTGATATAAAAATTCGGGAGTGATTTCTTTTTTTTTTTTTTTGTTTGTTTCCACCGATCGTTCGATCGAAGGAGGAGATGTGATATATCGAAGGTGAATATTATAATGGTGAAAGGATATAACGATGTGGAGAGGGGATTATCAAGAAAGTGAACGTGATTCTAAAAGTTATTGCATCTTTTTTTCGGTGCATCGAAGTGTGAATAGAAGTGCAGTATGCGTCGATGGAATTTGAGATTCTTTTCAATGGGGTAGAGATCGAGAACTTGGGATTTCTCTCGAAAGATTTCTCTTCTTCCTTTTTTTATTTAACAGTTTAAAACTGGTGTCGTAATTAACCCTTTGATAGAGTGATAAAATTACAAGGAATTCGAAGGACGGAAGTTGGATTATCCTTTCATCTTTGAGAATTTTGAAACTTTTGAGAGTGCAGAGTTTCGTAGTCGATTGATTTGCAAACAATTGCGGTATTAAGTTCATAATAACTTTTATGAAGTTTGTGGTTAAACTATCTTTGCCGGTTCAAACCGGTCTTTCTTGGGATTTTTGAGAATTATCTCAAGTTGTTTCTTTCTTAAAAATTGTGAAAAGGTTGAACACTTGTCGCTGTATCTACGATTCTCTATCGATATTTATCCCTTATGCTTTTTTACACCTTTCGAATAATTGTCGATTATTTGTATGACGAACGAAAATAAACGCCACGTTCTCTTTATTTAAAAAGAAAAAAAAAAGTCTCCGAGAATTTGAGGAGAAAGAGAAAACGTGAGAGGAAACGTTGGTTCATTTTTCAGCAAGGAAACAACGATGATCGACCACAAAAGATGGATCTTGCGGATCCTCGTTTTGGCAAACGTTCACGCCGCGATCGCTTCGATCAACCTAACAGATTCATCGGAGATCGATCAATCGAACGAGATGGACTCGTTCACCACGACGAAGAGGACGTTTCTTGACAGGTGTCTGGTGAAGACCGAGCCAGGCCCGTGCAAACAGTACGTCTCCAGGTGGACGTTCATCAAGACTGAAGGGAAATGCAAGACTTTCTCTTACGGTGGCTGCTTAGGGAACGAGAATCGTTTCAACTCGGAAGCCGAGTGTCTATATTATTGCGTGGGTGGTCCTGAACGTAAGGAGAATCAAATAAATTTTGCCACTCGTTCAATTGTTTCATTATCGAATTAAAATATGCAGAGAAGCGAGAAAATGGTGGAAAATTGAGATCGTAATACTTCTTATTTGATTTTCATAGAACGACGATAAGATATTTCTATTAGATTTTTAAAAGATCTTTGTAATATCGTTTCCTATAAAGATAAAAATTTAGTAAATTTAGAATAAGAAAAAAAAAAAAAGAAGAAGAAATAAGATTCTAATAAAAATTGTATTTTTTTTTTATTGAATCTTGATCTTTATCTCGTTTTGGATTTTCTTAGACACACTGTCTTATTTGGTCACGAAGGGGAATGTATTTGTAACGAGCACAGCGACCACGAACACACTGCCTTCTACCACCGCCATCACTTCACGACCAACGTTTTCACCACCAGAACCGACAAAACCGCCTGTGCCAAAGTACAAACGAGGAAAGGTAAATTTATTTCCAATTGAATTTCCTTCAGAAAAAAAAAAGACTCTAACTCAACATGTTTCGAACGTCGAACGAATAAGAAAAATGTACTGAAAGAGTTTTCACAGTGAGAATTCACTCAGAAAAATTGATCGACAGGAGCTCACCTTCATGGAATCTGGCTACGAGAAAACTTTTATGTTCGCCCAAAGCAACACGTTTATTCAACTGGACGGTAGTGGTATAAAACCGTTTCAACTTCGGTGAGTAATCCTGACTTTACTCGAAAGGATTTTAAAACGAGAGAACGAAATATCAATCTGTCAAAAAAAAAAGACGATGAATACGTTTAAATACAAGCGGTAGTTTTTTTCTCCCTTCAACATGAATATATTCAAAATTTGATCGTCGTTAAAACAAGGATAAAATTTAAATTCGGATAAAAGTTGAAGTCAAAAAAAAAAAAAATATCAAATTTCACGAGTGAAAAGGGATAAAAGAATGATATAAGTCGGGATACGAAGATTTTTCAAATCATCTATTTGCTATAAGTCTTCAAAAAATTGCATAATTGCATCAAAGATGCATGCAGAGATAAAGAACAGCCTAATTTTTTAAACGTGAATAAAAATAATGGTTCTAATTTCCTAAAATAGAATTATTCCTATTATTTTTAGCACATATTTATTTATTATATCTTATAAACGCATAAGATCAATTCTTCGTTGATAAAAATCCTATCAATTTTCAAATGATTTTTCTTCCTTAAATAATAAGGATTCCAGATATATATCAGATTAAATCTAAAACCGAATTTTTCCCTCCCTTCCAAGTGACAAGAATTCTAAATATCTAAATTAAATCCAAATCCGAATATTCTTTCTTAACTTAACAATAGTTGAAAAAAATCATCGTTAAGATCAATGATTTCAATTTGCAGACTGTGTCGCGAGATATCGTTCAAATTTCGCACAAAATTGCCCCATGGTTTGCTGGTCTATCACAGCGTCAAGGATCGGCCAGAGATCCGTTTAGACCCGTATGCTCTGTACGTGATCGTGGAGAAAGGGCAGCTGAAAGTGGTGCACGTGTTCGGGAAACGATCGACCAGTTTGACGGTCGGCGAAGGGTTGAACAGGGATGAATGGCACAGCGTTTTGGTGAGGATCGACGTCCACGGGGCGAAATTGATCGCCAGGGTGGACGATAAACAAGAGGAGACCACGCTTGAAGTTTTGGAACACGTGATCAATTATGGAGTGTCCGAGGAACTGGCGTCTGTCGTCCTTATCGGTGGTAATATACACTTTTCAACTTTAGTTTTTTTTTCTTCGATGGAAAAATGTAGAATTTTTTAAACTTTAAGAAAAGAAATAATGCTCTCTTTCTGACGAATATTAAAATTTTCTACGAAATCAATATATTATCGTATATATCGAATATATTTTTTTGAAAATGATCAATTTTAAATATCAATCCAGTTATAATTTCACTATTCGACCAAAGATATTACGTTAATGATCGTATGCAAAATATATAAATATAAGGATCTCGTTGACGATTAGGTATATCATATTATTGATATCGAAGATAAAATGATGGAATTATTTTTTCTTATTATTTAATCGTGAACTTTCGTCAGGGTTAAGCTCCGAGGAACGATTGCACGGCGTAAAATACATAATAGAATCATTCGTTGGCTGCATAAGAGATATGGTTCTCAGCTCGGGCAAATCGGCCAGCGATTTGTTGCCCATTCAACCTCTGATTGCCACAAAACACGAAAACGTGAGAGAGGGTTGCATAGACAAGTGAGTGACGATTTTTAACATCTCTAGAATGTTGTTATGTTATAATATTCGTTTTCATTTGATTGTAATTCACACGATGAACAAATTTCAGATGTAGAACACGAGAAAATCTCTGTTTCATCTCGAGTCAATGCGTGAATCACTATAATAGTTTAACTTGCGACTGCTTTGGAACGAAGTACGAAGGAGAACGATGCGATGTATATAGTACGTAATCATTTCAATGCAACAATATTTTCCTGCTGCAAAAGAACATATGATAATCCTAATAAAAATTAATCAGGATCGTGCATAATTGGATCGAAAGATTGGACGAAAATTTGGATGTGAATTCCAAAATCGTTAAAAAAAGTGTAACGATTTTAAAATTAAAGTAGACAATTAATTGGAAGAATCTTTCTTAGATTCGATATATTTATTGTATTATCATTTTAATATTATATTTAAAATTCACATGGAATTTCTTATATATTTTGATGATGGAGCTCGCATCCAATCTTTTCAAAACCTAACGCTAATAAAAAATAAACATCCATTCCAGCGGCCACGATCTTAACATTAAGAGGTTCTTCGTACGTATCTTTCCGCGTTTACGACTGGAAGGACAGAGTTCACTCGTCCGTGAACAGGATAAGTCTAGCGTTCAAGGTATTTTTCATAAATCAAATTACAAATTTCATTTTGTTTTCGCGATCCTAACGAAATTAATTTTTACTCGAAAGACGAAGTGGGACGACTCGGCTTTGTTCTACGCTTCCGGAGAAATCGATGGTACGCCGCACTACGTGGCAGCCTCCATAGTGAACGGATCGGTGCACATCGAATTGGATTTCGGGCACAACTCGAAGATCGCCACCGTGCTCGGCGATTACATCACGTCGAATCATTGGAACAATCTGACGATATTCCACAACGGATCGTTGGTGTTCGTCAGCCTGGACGACGAGATTAAAATACTCGAAATTCCTGGTGAAAATTACAATATGATCATCGATCCTGAGATCTATATAGGCGGTGGTCCGGAATTGCACAAGAAGAAGGGACTTTTGTCGCACAATAATTTCGCAGGTGAGAATACGTGAAATCGAGCGACTCATCGATTTTCTTCCTTCGCGACGATAAATAGGATTAATTAAAATTCGATAAATAAAAATCGTAATAACCGTTTCCTTAAATCAGATTGCATACTTTTATCGCTGGATAATAAAGAAAATGAAAATTTAAACAATTTTTATAAAATAAAATTTCATAGAAATATAATAATAAAAGAAGCAACAAAACGATAGATGGCATCGTCGATTTAAAAATCTGCTAAAGCTGAATTCCAAAGCTGAATTTCTAAAGAGAACATTTCTAAAGAAATCTATACGTTTAAACGTTTACCCCTCACCCACCCCCCTTGAAATCGTGAAATACGATTTTTAAGATTGATGGAGATCAATTGAATCGGTTTCAGGCTCGCTGAAATACGTTTTCTTCAACGACAAGTCCATTATTTATGAGTTGAAGCGTTCCAACCCCATGGTGCATTATATCGGTGTGCTCGAGCCCGAATACTACGAGGCGGATGTTGATGTGATTCCAATAACATATCCGTTCGCGACCAGCCACATTTGGTGGCCAATAGCACGGACCGACTCCCTTAAATTGAACTTCGACTTCAAGAGTTCGAAGCCTGTGGCTGTGGTCGCGTCTGGGGACGTGAAATGTAATCGTAGCCTCGGATACTGGGAGGTACGTTTCAACTTTGAGGAAATATTGGCTGCTTGAAAAACCGGGGGAATAGCGGTGAATGCGATCGTCGACGAGTAAATTTATATAAAATTCGAACAAATCTGATCGGTTGTTAAGGATAAATATATTTTCGTTCGTAGTCATTTTTTGAATTGATTGAAATTATCAACTATCGCATCTTTAAATAGCAGATGATTCATAAATTATTCGTGACAAGAATTGAGGATGATCATTAATTACGATTAATAAATTCGGAATCTGTAAAATACTCGAATTTAATTGAAAGTTGAAAATTGTACAAACTTTATCAATTGTACGCGCCGATTCTTCAAATTTACAAATCAAACTTGAACCATCTTTCAAATCCAAATTACTGTCCAATTATTCAATTTACATTTTTAACGTTGAAAACTGTTAATGCACAGCTCCAACTGGTGAACGACGAGATCCGTTTCCAACTGATCCCGGTGTTGGGCGAGAACGTCACTGTCACGACTGCAGTGAAATTCCCGCCTTACAACACGTCTTGGCACGCGGTCGAATTAAATTACACGAAAGGGGAGATCAGCGTTCTGGTCGATTATCGGAACAAGCAGAGCAAATTGTTCCCGATGACGTTCGAGCTTGGCGACAGAGTTATCATAGGAAGTGGAAAGAACAACACGGGTGAGCATCTATGATCGCGTGAACAAACAACGTAACAACAATACACGTATATATATATTTGGTTTTGCATCAGGTTTGGTCGGATGTATGCGCGAGATACGGGTGAACGACGAGAGGATAGAGCCTAGATACGTGATGAACACTGACAGAGTTATGGGAGAAGTAGCGTTGGATAATTGCCAATTCATCGATCCTTGTACCAGGCCGAACACTTGCGAGCACGGGGGCAAATGCTCGGTGAAAAAAGACGAAATCAGCTGTGATTGCACCGACACCGGTTACGTCGGGAAAAATTGCCATTTTAGTGAGTAGAGCGAATTTGTCACTTCGTTAATCAATTGCCGAACGCGTTCATCTTCGTATTGACGAAAAATGGGGGTAAATATAGTTGATCCGAATTTAGAATATTCAACTCTGAGGGCCTCGTTGTCGCATAAAATGTTGGAAGGAAAACGATAGAGATTGAGAAATTAGAATAAATGGAATTGGATTCTAAAGAAGAAAAAAATTAAAATTTCAGCTAAATTCAGAAAAACGTGCGAGGAATTAGCATTGCTAGGATACACCCAGGACGATGTGTACAAAATCGACATCGACGGTAACGGCAGATTTCCTCCTGCCCTGGTCAAATGCGAGTTCCAATCCATCGAGAACTCGACAAAGACTATCGTGGAACACAATTTACCCTCGCAAGTCGATGTCAGATCGATCGCGGAATCTGATTTCTCGTTCAACATCAAGTACAGACAATTCACCGCGGAGATGCTTCAAGAATTGATCTCACACTCGTTGTATTGCAGTCAGTACGTCAAGTACGATTGCTACAAGGCACCATTGGAATTGCACAGCGCCACGTGGTTTCTCAACTCGAAGGGAACCACCGTGGATTACATTGGAAATGTGAATAGAGGATCTTGTCCTTGTGGAAGTGAGTAAAACCGAAGCTTTTAAGCTAAAGCTAAAAATTAAAATCATTCTGGAATGATTGAAATAATTCTTTCGTGTATTCGAAGATGAGTAAAATTATCGTCACGTGTAAAGAATCACGTTGCCTATCTCACGATTTTAAATAATTTTTAAAATATAAATTTGGCAAAAAAATATTTTATATTAAGAAATTTCTTATTAAATAGAGCATTTGTGTTAACATTTATTTAATATTAATAAAATTTTCGATTAATCAATACCAAATTGATTCGTAAAATGTTGATTATACAATTTAGAATAATTAAATTATTTAAGGAATTGGCAATCTGTTTGTGTTTAGTGAACAAGACATGCATTAATCCAAATTTAAGCTGCAATTGCGATTTCACTGGAAATGGCGATAAATGGCTTTCCGACGAAGGATATTACGAAACACCGGATTCTTTAGGCATCACAGGAATGGTATTCTTGCAACAAAGAGATCTCGAGGAAGATGCACAAGGACGAATTACCTTAGGCCCATTAGAATGCGTCGAAACGAGTAAGTAATATTTTTATCTAATAATGAAAATATTACTTAACATCGTTTAAAAAATAAATAATTCCTTGCAAGTAAATTTTATTTAACATCTCTCAACTAGTTAAAAAATATTCCATTTAAATTCCAATGGAAAAAATTCGATTAAAATTCCCATCGAAATGAATGATTTACATGTTGATATTGTTGATTTTTGTTAATTCACAGATACACAGAAATACGTTGTGACATTCACCACTTCGCAATCGTACATCGAAGTACCAGGTTGGAGAAAGGGGGATATAGCGTTCAGTTTTCGAACAACTGGAGAGAAAGCTATCCTTTTGTATCAACCACCTATCAGAAACAATTATCCATCTTTCATGGTTGCTTTGACCTCAGAGTATCGATTGACGTTTAATTTCACCCTCAGTACGGGTGTTATAAAGGGTATAGAGGTGGAGAGTAAAAGAAAATTGAACAATGGCGAATGGCAAAAGATTTGGATCGATTACAATAATTATCACGTCAGATTAATGATCAATACAGATTCTCAAATGCTCGACCTCGAGGACAAATTTGGACCGTTCGAGGGTTCTATGTTCATCGGTGGAGCTACCGCGTGAGTATTATTGTTCTCAAAAATTGTACAACTACAATTTAAATGGTGCGATTCTTTCCTTATTCATCATTATTGAATACTGATTTTATCTGTCATTATTATCTTGAAAAATCAATCAAAGTAAAAATATAATAGTTTCAAAGAAGAAAGTTTTTTATTCAGGAAAAATTTTAACAAAATATTTTTCAAATGAACAAAATATTAAATTTTAACATATAATTATAAAAGTACTTAAAAAACCATTTGAACAACTATATAAAATTGCAAATTAAGTTTAACGATGATGACACAAGATATTTTCAGAATAGAAAATAACGTATAAATCATTGTAGAAAATTTTGAAGTTCTCATTACGGAAAATAAGGAAAAGAAGGAAAGAAAATATGTAAAAACTCGTTATATAAATCATACGCATAAAACACAATAAAATCAGAAACGATTTTATCTCTCAGAGAACATTTGAGAACTTCTTCGGTTCAGCAAGGACTCATAGGCTGTTTTCGAGGTTTGGTCGTGAACGGGGAGATCCTGGACATTCACAGTTACATGTCTGTTCATTTGTCTGAGATCATCAAAGATTGCAAACCTTTCTGTCAACCGAACAAATGCCAGAACGGTGCCAGGTGCGTAGAATTGTGGAGCAACTACGAATGCGTCTGTGAGAACAAATGGGCCCATTTTGGCGACTATTGCGAGAAGAGTAAGTGCTTCCGCATCCAATTTCAACTATCGGCCCCTTTACAAAGTTCATGTTCAATAATCGAAATAATTCCTTTCCATTGAATTCCGTTCTTTAGACATAAACAACGAGGCGTTGACATTTACCTCACAGAGCGCTTTTCTGAAGAAGAACTACTTTGGCACGGATGAAAAGGACGAAGAGAAGTCGCTGTTGAAGAATATACTGATGGAGAATATTCTAATCAATCTGAGAACATACGACACTTATTCGTCGATCTTGTACGCGAACGATAACTTGAACAACTTTGCCCATCTTTACATTTCGAATGGCACTAGTATAGTATATCTGTTCAACGCTGGTAACGAGATTAAGAATATCACTGTGGAATATCCGGGTAATTTTCAATTCAATTAAAAATATCCAAGAAAACTCATGAAATTGCATTATCGTCGTATTTAACAAAACGCAGAGTTTTTAATTTAAAAAGTTGATTTTGACTCACGATCTCGAATATAATAATTTCCCTCCCGTTGTTCGATCGCGAATTTTCAGTGAACACAGGGATCTCGATCCAAATCGCGATTATTCGAAACGAGAAATCAACAACGCTTCATGTGAACGAGTACAATTCTACATTGAACGCTACGCCTGTACTGCTGGACACGTACTCGAACAAACCTTGGATAAACCCTGAGAAAGAAGTGTTAGCTCCCCAGAGGCCGCCAGCATCGCCCACCAGCTACTTCCAGGTGAGATATCAGGGGTTTCAAATTGAATCGAACGATCAGCAATGATCAGCAATCTTATATAGGTGAATCTAGGGGGCTTCGATCCGGATGATTTGCTAAGAGTCGGCAAAGAGGACGCGCAAATTAAGGGGTACGTCGGCTGTCTTGGTGGATTAATGATCGGGGAATACGTGGTCAATTTATCTAAGCTTGCCAACGAGGCTAATCACGAGGGCAGCAAAGAGATACTGCCCAATTGTCAAACGAAATGCGACGCAATGCCTTGCAAGAATTTGGGGATCTGCACCGAAGATTTTGAGAGGCAGGAATCATTGTGCAATTGCGAATTAACGTCGTATTTCGGGGAGCATTGCGCCGATGGTGAGATATTTTTCGACTTAAGTATTAATAATAATCAATTGGATTAATAAATGTCATTTTTTTTCAAAGAGCCACTAAATTTATATAATGTCTATCTAATCTAAGATTATTTTATTGCGTTATCTAACTGTCTATCTGCTAAAACATTATCTCGATAATTTTTTGCGAAAAAAACTTTAAAAAAAAGAAATTTACCAAAAAATAATTCCAGTAAATGTTGTAATAATGTTATATGTTATAAATAAAATGCATTTTGATTTTTTGAAACTTGATAAAAAATATTTTCATTAATTAATATTTCTTTTTCTATTATATTTTATGTTAATATATGTAATATATATAATAAATACCGATATTATTAAAAGTTTCATATCTGGATATCCATTAATTAATATTTTGAAAATAAATCGTGTTCTAAATTATACGAACAACTCAGAAATTTTTTCTATTATTTTTGAGAATAGGAAATTAATTGAAACAATTCAGAAATTTCTCAGAATGTTAAATATAATTTAAATAAACGCAAATATTATTGATTTATTATTAAACTTCTCCCCAAGTTCGGGATGATTCCAAGAAGATTTCCAAAAAGATATGATATCAAATTTCTATTTTTTGTTAGAAAAAGGAGCAGACTTCAGTGGTGAGAGCGTTGTTCAACGAGAGTTCGATCTCGTCGGAAAAGTGAACCAAGTGAAAGTTCAACTCGCATTCTCGACCAACGAGCTTCGACAACGTACCACAGCCCTTTTGCTTTTACAGACAGAAAACAAGTAAGTTCTCCTTCCTATGGATTCCTCGCTCGATTTCCCTATCTATTTACGCAGAAAATTTTGAATATACACCTTCTTGAATCCTCTTTTCAAAAGCTTTTTCTTTTTTTTTTTTTTTCCCTTTTTTCCCTTTTCAGAAGAAGCTACTACTTGCTCGTTGCTTTAACGTCGGAAGGCCAATTGATTTTCGAGGAGGACAGAGAAGGATCCGCATTTGGAGTACGTTTGAACGATATAAATTTTTTGAACGGAGCCAGGCACAGTATTTATTACGTTCGAGACAATAGCACTGTCACGTTTTTGGTACGATAAATCAGGTTCCAAATAACGAAACATTAATTCTTCTCATCGAATTCGATGATACGATGACGTTTCTCCATCGATTGTAGATCGATCGTGAACCAGTGACACTGTTACCGATTCCAGCATTGACTCTCGGAGAGGACGAGAGCCCGGGGGTGACCGAGATCCAACTTGGCGGTCTGAACACGACAGACTCGCGATTCAGCGCGTACAAGGGATACACCGGTTGTCTCAGCAGTGAGTTGCATCAAATCCGAATTTGAAACAATGAGATTGAGAAATAAAGAAAGAAAAAGAGAGGAAAGAACTCGTCGGCGGCGTGAGAGGATAGTGACGTGATTTCTAATAGGATACTGTGTCTTTCTTATGTTAGACAAAACGATCGTCAGCCACATTGCGATTACGAAATGACGGATACCCTCTTCTTGTAGACGTCGTGGTATCGATCAACGGGGGACCCGACATGAAGCCGCTCGAGGAATATATGCTATTTACGAAACAGGGAAGCGAAACCGTCAGGGCGACGATGCCTGCCGGCGTAAGGAGCGCTCAGTGCGCTGTCTTTCACGTCCAACCGCATGGCCTTGATCCACCCAAAAACGATAGCAACGTGGTAAGCAATCTTTTCATTATCTCGATCAGATTTTCTTGGTACTTCTTGGTACCGTTGGATATTTACGAAGAATGTACGACGACAATCTTTGTGCGAGATTACAACTTTTAAATTCTCTTTTAAGAAATTTGATAGAACTTGAATGCTCGACGCCTCGGTCTTTTAAAGGTATATAATTCTCGTATAGCATAGCTTGAAACATTAAATTTTTATCTTAAGAATCTCAGAAATCTTATAAGAAACAGTTTAATACGAAGACGGTTGATATATAACACGTATAACAGATTAACAAATGATGCAAATAATAATACCGTAACCAAACTGTCAAAGTTTCAAAGAAAGAAAGAACGAGAATGGGAGCAAAGTTCGTCGAATCTCGAAACATGTACGTAAGAGGCGAAAACTTTATGCCGAAGGGTGTCGACAAAGTGTGGGTGGAGGACCCCCCGGAGAGGATATCGTACAAGTCGCAATACACGAACGCGACCCAGGAGGAGCAAGGTGCCGGTACTTACATCTTCATCGCGTTGTGTTGCGTATTCGTGACAGCGGTGATCGGTTGTATCTACGAGGTGTGGCGGAGCGCGAGGAAGGATCGGCGTCGAAGACGCGCATCCGGTGTTTCCGTCGCCTCCACGGTTCCCGCGCCCGGCTCTCAGAGATGGCAGACGCAACAATACACGGATCCGTTAACGGGTGGCGTGAAAACGGTCGGGTTCAAGAACGTGGCCGAGGACGAGAAAAGACCGAACGGCACGCACGTGAAGCCCCCCCCGGTCAAGGAGTACAAACCGCTGGCCAATGCGGAGTCGAAAGACTTAATTAACGATAAAAGAGTTCATATCATAGGTGGGCACATTTTGAAATATCGATCGTGTAAAAAAATCGTGTATAACCGCATGTGAATCGTGAAATGTGATTCGAATTTATAATTATATTTTTACATACAGCAGATGAAGAGCCAGAGAAGAAGGAGCTCCTAGGGGTAAATACAGGCATCATCACTAAATCTCCGAAACTGAATCCATTCGTAAAGATTTTTTCTTTTTTTTATAAAAATTATCTATATTAATAAGTTATAAGTAAGCCTGCTGAATAGATTTTGCAAATGGAAAATTTATGATGTATCTGATGTTGTATGAAGTTAAGGAAGAGAATGTTGATTAAATCGATCGAATTCTTTTAATAATTTGACCGTGTCTACTTTGCAGGCTCGCTTTTCAGGTAATTCGAAACACTCGAAATAAATGAAAATCCGTTGATGAATAAAGTAGTAACTAATTACTACGATATTTCGTTGGGAATATTTTCATAAAGAATGATTTATAGGAAAAAAAAATTAATACTTTTTTTTTGTTATATTTAATTAATTTTGATAAGTTCGAATATTAATTTAAAATATATATATACAAGATGTTCACACTATTAACTGTCTATATGAATTTCGTGAGATTATTAGAATACGAATTAAAATTTTTTATTTTCATTTTATTCTCTCGTATAAAGTCTATAGGATTGTACCATATTCAAATTATACACCCTTATAGATATTTTCTAAATATCGAATGTATTATTAAATTAAAATCCAAAAAATTAAGATACGATAAAATAAACAATTAAACCTAAATGCAGGATTGTACCATGTATCCAAAATATACATCCTGGAATTAAAATTAAGATTAAAAAAAAAAAATTAAAATGAAACAAACAGAATTGAACTTCATTAGTAAAAATAACTATATATTTTGTGAACATCGAATGTATATGTATGAAAGATAATTTTAAAAGAAAAAAAAACAATTAAAAGTAAATTTTCAACATCTCAAATCGATCTACTTCCAGTCAATGGAAGATCTACAGGAGGAACCGGAATTGGAAGAATGCGAAGAAGAGGAACCAGATGAAGAGGATGAAGATGAAGATGAAGATGACCCCAAAGAACAAAATACAGACGAGGAAGAGATACATCAAAAAACAGAACGTACTGATGATAATGATTTTGTCAAGTCGGTAAGAAAAACATCGAGAAGTTATTCCTTGAATAGATAGGTATCTGTCCTTGAAATACGAATCATCTGATATTGAAAGAAATATTGAAAGAAATAGCAAATCTATTTTTTAAAGATCTCAAAATACATATCTATATAATAATAAGTACAAAATATTCAGATTACTGATTTTGTTGAAGATTGTTGAACATTGATAGAGATTTAAAAAAATATTATAAATTAATGATATACTTTTGTTTTTAAAAAAAATACTATAAATTATAAAATTAAATATTTAATATTCTTTAATTGTTTCCCCTGTACTTTATAATGCCTAATAATAAAACTTTCTAAACAAAAGACTAAATCTATATACCAGTGTTCAAAATTTCAACAAAATCAGTAATTCAAAGATTTAGAAAAAAGATACAAAGAAATTTTTTTATAAATCAAATTAAGAAATGAAAATCAAATTTTATTACTCTTTTCTCTTTTCTTTATAATTTTTAAATTAGTCAAATTCGATTTTATTAAGCTGAAGAAAAATTTTTATTTCAAAGACAGATTCGATTTCACCATAAGCTATGTTCGGATTTTGTTGGATATATTCAATAATATTTTGATTGTGTAACACACCAATGTTATTCACATCCATTATCATCACACACATTTGTTATTTATCTTTGTCGGCTTTGTATGTATGTCCCTCGTACACTTTTTTTTTATTATACATATATATATATATATACACGTAAATATAAATATGCAATATTGATTATGTTATACGAACGAATAAAACATCCTTAAAGAAATTAATTTTTCAAACGTTGTAACATCTCATTCCTCGTAAATCCATTAAATATATTCTTCCTATAAATCATTTCATCCGATAATCGATTAGGAAATCATCTCATAGAATCGATTTGTAAAATGCACAAAAAACTGAGAGATAAAAGGGATTGGGATGCAACGAACAATAATCGAAAATATATGATACTTTCAGCCAGAAAATTCGTCTAGGATAAGTGTCGAAGAGAGTGTTGATTCCTTAAACAACAATCCAAAACACGATGAAACAAAAACGCAATACGAAGTTTAAAGGTATTCAGTATTATCGTATAGCTTGTTGCATCCTTTCTTCTTCTGATTAGTCATTTGCTTCTTGATTATAATGCAAATGTAATTTGCATTCATTTTGCAAAATATTAACGCGAATAATTTTAATAAAGGAGAAGATATAAAGATTTGAAAATAATAAAATATTAAAACGTTTTTTAATATTTTGAAATATTATAATGCGAATTACATTAGGATTATTATCACGGAATAAGAACATGATTAGTACTATTAATTTGTGGTATTTCCAATAATTATTTTATTGAAAATCATTGCATGATTCTATACGATTATAATATAGAAAAATTGTCTTTTTGTGCTCTCCGTTTTTTATATATATTATTAGTTACCTGTTCCCATATTAAAAATGAAGCTTTAAATAAAAAATTTTTTTATAAGTAAAATTAAATTGTTAAGTTTTGTAAAGTGAAAAATATAATTTGTTTCAATTATAATAATGCAAAATATAACATAAATCAACTTTAATAAAATGAAAATATTCGAACAAAATATTCAATTGCATGAATTATAAAATATTCTTTCATTTTCAATTACAGATAATATTAAAACTAAGAAATTAACTAGGAATAGTATCAAATTTATATTAAAAAAAAAATTGACTATTGATAAAGAATGCATCAATCAATATTGCATGAATTATAAATATGCAAAAAGAACTAATAGAATGTATTGCATTAAATGAATGCATGTTACATTAAAAAATTATTAATTATAATTTCTATAACAACGTTCACTTTTTCCTAAACTTTCCTTGAAATGAAATCAAAATAATATTTTCACTACCTAACATTTTCAAATTGAAAATTACTTAAAATAAGTTTCATCTTATTTAGGAAAACACGCTAAATGGTATTGGACAACGATCAAGAATCGAAAATTTATTTTCAGGTCAGTATTATTTTAATTATTTGTGAAAGAACATACTTTGTAAAAATAATACTTTTAAATAATCTATCTAATACTATTGTAATATCATTTTTATTTTATATTCTATATTTTATATTCTAAATTTGAATAATAATTACAGAATACTATATATAGTTTAAATATCATCTTAGAAAAAGAAATCTTCAAAATACAAAAAAAATAACAAATATTAAAGTTATTTTTAATAAATATATAAACTTATTAACATAAGATAAAAGAATAACTAATATTTTAAAAAATTTATGTAATATTATAAATAATCAAAAAGTAACCAAGTAAAGTAATCAAAAAAATGTATACTTCTTTTTATATATAAATTTTTCATTCAAAATAAATTGAATTTCTCTATAATTAAATAGTTTTAATATTAATTTTTCAATATATTACTTATTTTGAGAATTTGTATATGTAACTTTTTAGATTCTGCAAGGCGTTACATTTACAATCTGCCATCTATCTATTTATTGGATCGAAGAATTTTTGGATATCCATTGAACTATTTTGGTGTTGCGAAATATCAATCAAGAAATAGAAATTCCATTGAATCGGTATTATCTTTGGATTAATGGATACTTCCCGAATTTATAAAAAAATTTTTAATTTCGCGCCATGTTGTGTGCGCACGCATCACAACTCTGAAGATAATGCGAAATAAAAAAATTTTAATGTACAACGATATACAATAACGAATCTTCGTTAAATATTTTATGATAGCTCTTCATTACAAAAGCAAAAATCTTTGATTTGTTTTAAAAATATGTAACACTTACTTATGCAAATGTAGATTAAGTCCACCAATGAAATATTTCCGTGAATTTTTCATGCTACACATACTTGATTGAAGATGTTCATGGAAAGTTGAAATAATTTACTGGAAAAAAACAATAAAATTATTTCTGATGGTCATACTCTTAAATAACGATTCCTACAAACATCTCCTTACATGTATAATATCAAATTTATATTATATTATAATACGTACATATTAGAATATCAAAGAAGAATATTCTTTTTTATCTCACATTACACAATTGTTAAAAACACACAAGATAAACGTACATTTCACTTTACTTTTTAAATTTCACTTAAAAGTTCGACACTCTTTCGTTCAACACTGCTTCCTCAAACTAACTGTTATTTTCGATAGTATTGCTTTTTTAATTTTGAATAAATATCGATTGTTATAGTTATATCGATTATGTATCGTTATCGTTGATCGCATCACAATTCAATTCAATTAGTAATTGAATCGATGTTAGATGTGACTACGTTGTTCTAAAATAAAAGATAGTTGATATCGAAGAATTAAAGAATATATAATAATAATAATAATAATAATAATAAAATTATTGTCAATAAAATAAAAAACATAGTAAATAAATACAATCAATATATTAAAAAATGTTATTCAAAATGACAAAAATAAGTTACGAATTAAGGTTATGAATTTTGTTTTTAAATTATATTTATTATATTTTCTCATTTTTGAATAATAATGTTTAAATAAAAATACAAACATAAAAAATGACAAAAATTGTTGAATTATGTCCTAATAAAAATTTAATAAATTTGAAATTCGAAAAATATCAGTTTTGTAGCGATGAAATTTCGATAGATACTGAAATATGTTTAAAAACAGGTAAGCATTATTAAAAAAACAAATTCTCAACATAAATTATCTCAACTCAAATATCATTTATTAAAATAAAATGCAATTAAAAAGGCAATTATATTTTTAGATGTATATAGGTTAGAATTAACAACAAATCGAGATTCCTTCTTAGAAACTCGATTATTCGCATTTCATAATCATTTATTCAAAAATCCATATGACACATCATCTTGGTACATAGACGAAAATGGAATTGTATGGCGATTTAAAAATGATGGCAATTTAGAACAAATACATGAAATTAATAATTTAAATAAAAATGTGCAAAATCGTTTGTATAATCCATCAATTGGATTTACTAATAATAATATTATTGTAATTTCTGATGGTGGAGATTGTTTAAAATTATTAATAACAAATGCCCAAGAAAATATTAAATCTTTCACATTAAATAATGTGGAACCTGGAGTAATATTAGATATAAGATATATAGATACCACAAATACTATTATGATTGCAATGTGTGATATTAGAAGTACAGGTGAAAAAAAATTTTCAAGGCTTTTATTATTAACATATGCTTGGAAAAATGCAGGAAATTTAGATCAATTCTTTGAGCTTATTAATAAAGAAACTTTAAAAGTAAATGGTGCTATTGAATATGTACATATAGAAAACTGTGGTAAATACTTACATTCCATTTGTCAAGATTATATAACATTTGATTCCCCAAAGATAAAAAAATCTACTGATAATGAAAAAGATACAAAGAAAACTGAGAAACTAAAAATTCCAAGATATTATTGGTCTCAAGATGAGGATTCAATAACAGTCTGGCTTAAAATAGACAATCAATATCGAGATAAAATTAAAGTAAATGTAACATCACTAGAACTATCAGTAACAGTAAATAATAATGTACTAATAGAAGGACAATGCCAATACAGATTAGATGAAGATTTAACAACATGGAAATATGAACAAGATACATTTAAACTTGAATTATATAAACATGAAAATGGTTTAATGTGGAATGAATTAATTAAAGGCGATACTGGTGGAGAATGTTTACCTAATGAAACTTTGGCTACTGAAATTCATTCTAAGTATATTACTTAAAATAATAAGAATTTCATTAAATTATTTTTATATTTAATATATTTTATATATCTATTATTTTATATGTAGGTTAGCACATTTATGTACAAATCAAATTGATAATAAGCAAGGACAACCTTGTTTAGGATTTAATGCTGAACAACTTGAGGAATGTGATCTGGAAGGAAAAGATAATCTCCTATTGAGAATTGATCTTGTTGAACAAACAAATACTCATTTAGCTATGCTTGGAACAAGCAATCATGTATTGTATACATATAAAACAAAAAATGGACAAGCAATTTGTCTAAGACATAATAATGATGGTTTCTTATGGATTACTGATCAAGTAAATGATAACAAATGGAATATCAAACACTATTATACTTTTCCTGGTTTTGGTTATGTTGAAGCAAGTAAAAGTAATAAAAAGTTTTGTGTTTCTCCTACTGGTAAATATTTAAAGTTTTAATCTAATCAATATTAGATTTGGACATTATTTAAATAAAATAATATAATATATAAAAGATTTAAATAAAATATTTGATAAATAATTATTTCAATAATATATTAACATGCAATTTGTTTAAAATTTCTTTTTCTTTAAATTATTTTATTATTTGACTATAAAATTTTATATTTTTATTTTATTTTATTTCAAAATTGTCTCTCTTTACTGAGATATCTTTATATGAATTAAAAATACAAGTTTTCCTCATTCGTATATATATATATATATATATATATATATATATATATTATTTATTT